TTTGAGGTATACCAAGTTGATTTTCTTACACTTGTAACAACAGAGGTATTTTTGAGGTATAAAAATTTTTACCTTGTTTCAACTAAAGAAAGTGAGGTATTTATTGAGGTATATGGAGTCATTTTTTTTACACCTAAGCTTATTTTGAGGTAGTTTTAAAATCATACCAACCAGACTGATAAGGTGATTTTTAAGGTATACGAGGTTGTTTTTCTTACACTTGTAACAAACGAGGTATTTATGAGGTATAAAAAATCAACCTTATTTCAACTAACGAGAGTGAGGTATTTATTGTGGTGTATGAAGTCATTTTATTTATACCTAAGGTTGTTTAAAGTACACTTCATATTAACTAGCTCAATTGCCAGAGTTCCGTGCGAGACGGCAAATGGCGTGTGTGTTGACAATCGAAAGTGTATTCGAAATTCGGTAAGTGTGCTTGACATTTATTAATTTGGTTTTATCACTTTTAATCAAATATGCTTCAATTTTCAAACTTAAATTTTATTATTATTGTTTTAAAGATGCCTCCTGATTTTAAATAGTTTAAGTTGGAGGATATTCTTAGAAGCTATTAGTGTAGGCTTAGCAATAAGAGAGAACAATCGAAATATTTCTCGTCGCTGTTTAGGGTAACGTTACTGGTGAATCGTTACAGCAGGTTATGCACAGTATACTTTATTGTTTGTAATTTATTCAAATATGACTATTCTTTCATTTTGCTTAAATGTATATGTTTCAACGTTGCAGTATGCAAGCTGATTAGTTGAGTAAAATGTTCATAATTTCTCTTATAAATAAATCATTGAAAATTGAAATATCTTTAAAATAGCAATTTTGCTTTGAAATTCTACTATAGCTGTATGCTTATCGTTTGCTCGGATATCTGTTGCAAAGTTTATATTGTTCTTTATGAGTCAAAATATGTATAATAACACTGCATTTTAAATCTGAATTTTTTTTTATCTGATTAACGTGCACTTTCTTTTTCTTTCATATGTGTATATATATATATATATTTACAGAGCTTATCTACTGTTCCCTGATATTGCTGAGATTACCTAGGCTGTAAATAGCACATGTGCAGCAGCGATGAAGAAGTTACTAGCAAGTTACTGCTCAGCCTTCCCATAAGAAATAGTTCTGAATTCATATTATAAAGAAAAAGTAATCTCTCCTAATAAACTACAGCATTTATTCAATTGTTGATAACAATAGTTTGTTAGATATTTGATAATTGAAAACTAGTAACTGTACTAGCTCACTTTTTTATGTTTGATCACACTGCTATTTTCACTACGTGTTATTTTTTCTCAATTTACCCACGTTAATTATTTACTAAGCAGATTGTTATTACTTATTAAAATATAGAATAGAATTAAATTTAACCCGATTTCAAGTTTATATGACAATTTGTTTCAAGGTTATGAGCATTTTTATGCAGCTGTTTATAGTTCACTACTTCAAAAATTAGCGACTTTCGTAAAACTTAAATGTTTTAGAAATAAGACAGTATAGTTTCTTATGCAATTTTAATGTTGAATTGAATAAAATCAATTGCAAATAAAGACATTTATTGTTAAAAGTAATATGCAATTTTTTCAATTTCATCTTATTGAATGTGTTTTTATATTTAAACAAATGTTTGTAACAACTAGCTATTAGTTTTATTCTGCTTGGTATTATAAATTATATAGGAGATATTGTACTCAACTTATTTTAAAAGTATTATTTCAAATCATTCTCTCTTAGACATTTTCCTCACATAAAATTACTCACAACTTTAAAATAAATGCTCCTTATCAGCTTGTAATTTGTTCTATTCGATTGAGTGTAAAAAAAGAATAAAAATTGGTACATAACTTTAAAATTTTAATTTATTAAACGATTGTAGATTCTTGATTACATTGATTAAAAATTATTAAAATAACTATTTTTTAAGAAACTCTGATGTGATTGACAATAACATAAGTCCTTTTCAGAATCAGCGTCAAAAATTTAAAAAAAAGCTGCTAGTTTCATGAAGTCTGACAAAAAGTTGAAAAATATAGACTAGGTTTATTGAGTTTAAAGATTTTTAAAAAAGAAAGGGAAGGAAATCTAATTATTAAACTTACAAGTACCATAATGTTACAGATGTATAGAAAAATAAAAAGTGTTAAAATTGCATAATAAGATTGGAATTATACAGGGTGTTTATAAAGTCCCGGACCCATTTTGATGTTTAATAACTCATAAAATAATAAAGATAGATTAAAATTAATAACATTAATGGTTAGATAGACTCAAAAAGTTTCATGACCCTTGTCAATGAACTTCCACGTGTGCCCCCTTCGTCGCACGGAGAATATCAAGTCGATAGTCAATTTCACGAGAGGTAGCTTTCTTTTTTACAGAAAAGACAATCTCATCAGTCGTATACTTAGACATGTTGGAAAACTTCGTATTTCCACAACTAGAAGAGCTTCAGCCACATGTCTTTTTGCAACAAGATGGTGCACCACCTCATTGGGGTATCATCGTTCGTAGTTCTTTGAATGACCATTTTACAGGAAGATGGATTGGGCGAGGAGGTCCAATTCCTTGGCCACCCAGATCACCTGATATAACGCCGCTGGACTTTTTTCTTTGGGGATTTATAAAGGACAATGTTTACAGGAGGATCGTGTCGAACATTGATGGCCTAAAAGCCAGAATTACAACCGCAATAGCCTCTGTGGATGCCGACATGCTTGCCGCTACCTGGCGTGAAATTGACTATCGACTTGATATTCTCCGTGCGACGAAGGGGGCACACGTGGAAGTTCATTGACAAGGTTCATGAAAGTTTTTGAGTCTATCTAACCATTTATGTTATTAATTTTAATCTATCTTTATTATTTTATGAGTTATTAAACATCAAAATGGGTCCGAGACTTTATAAACACCCTGTATATTTGAATTTCTGTAAATGTTGTTAATGGTAATACTGTCTTCAGTGTATTTTATTTTGTGGCTGTGATACATGTCATGCTTTTTAGCTACGAGGATTGAATAGAAATGGCAGAAGATATTTATCTGAAAAGGAAAATTAATTTCATCCAGTTAATTTAAATGATAAAAAAAATACTTTCTAATATTTTAAGACCTGCCACTATTATTGTAAATATGACTTTCTTACTAATTTATATTTTTTTTCCTTTTAGGTTCCAATAATTACAAGTTTCAACATGTAGACGGAAACAGTATTTAAAATAATTTTGTTGGTTTGTAAAAAAAGTGAAATTTTAGTTTTAAATAAAAGTACTTTGAATTTCAGCTGACTAATTATTTAAATTTGTAGTTTTATAGCTTTAAAAATTCAAGCACCTTAGACAACTATCTTCTAAAAATACGAGTATGAGTTCCCATAAATAATTTTTACTAACTGTAGAATTTGGATAAGTGTTATTTTAAGATGATTTAAATCAATCTATTAAAATTATAGAAGAATTATGCATTTGAAACTTTCTTTTATAGCTTAACAAAAGAAGCAATTACTGCCGAAGGTTTAATATTAAAAATTTCAGGTTGATAAATGATCTCTACTAGTGAAAAAAATGTAATGTACATTATTCTTCATATAATATATATAATATCTTTATATATATATTATATTTTTTATATAGTGAGTCTAAAAATTAATAAACTAGGTGGTCCGTATAACACCTCACCTTCGTAAGTGCTAAAAAAAACATCTTTGGTTGATAAATTAATACTTCTAAAAATACAAAAATATATACTTGAGGTTACGAAATAATAACTTAAGGTAGAACATGGAACACATGGCGCTAATTAAAAATAACCTTTCCAATTGTTGAAAATACACTTCAGGTTGATTTATAACAACCAGAAGTGTAAAATGGCCCACCTTAGGTTGAAAAATATATACCTCTACAAGCATAAAATTATATACCTGAGGTTGAAGAATAATTACCTGAGGTAGAACAAAATACATTTGAGGTTGATTTATAACAACCAGAAGTGTAAAACGACACACCACAGGTTGATAAATATATACCTCTACAAGCATAAAATTATATACCTGAGGTTGAAAAACAATTACCTGATGTCGAACAAAATACACCTGAGGTAGATTTATAATAAGCTGAAGTGTAAAATGACACACCATAGGTTGAAAAATATCTACCTCTACAAGCATAAAATTAGATACCTGAGGTTGAAAAATAATTACCTGAAGTCGAACAAAATACACCTGAGGTTGATTTATAATAACCTGAAGTGTAAAATGACACACCTTAGGTTGTTGAATAAATACTTCCACAAGTGTAAAAAAATATACTTCAGGCTGATAAGTAATAACCTAAGGTTGAAAATAAAACACTTTAAAGTAGTAAATATCTACCTCTCCACAGATGTAAAATTAAACACCTCAGGCTGAAACATATATACCTCTGGAGGTATATTTAAGGTATATTTGAGGTTGATTTTGAGGTATTCATTTGCACCCTTTTCAACCTTAACGACGTATTTAAATAACAACCTCCTTCATACCTTTCAAATATACCTCGTTTATACCTCATTTATACCTCGATTTTTTCATAAGGGTAGTGCATCAGTCACCGACACAGATCCTATATCATTGACTGGGATTGCTTCTGGATATTTTGACGACATACAAATGGCTGTAATCAAGTATTTTTTTCCACTTGGCGTGGTGGGAAGAGGACCAACTTCATCAACGTTTATTTTTAAGAATATTTCCTGTATGATCGGTACAATTTTTAAAGGAGCCTTTTTTTATCCTTTGGTTTCCCCGCTTTTTGACAACCATCGTAGGTTCGTACGAATTCTTCCATCTCTTTATAGCATTTTGGCCAAAAATAATATCGCGCCAATCTATCTTTGGATTTGGTTATGCCAAGGTGTCCGGAAGTACTTTCATGACATAACTTTAAAATTCGGCTTCTAAATTTCTCAGGTATAACTAAAAGTTTCTTTATTTCTCCCAATCGTCCTTCTTAGCATTTGAAAAGAAGTTTTTTTTCAACCACATAGCGATGTTTATTATTTTGATTCTGAATACCTTCTTCCACACTTTTAAAAACTGATTTTAACTCGGCACTATCCTGTTGAGCTTTAACGAAGTCGTCGTGATCCACCTGTATTAAAGAAAGTTCATCAGAATTGGCATTTAAAGTTGGTAATATCTCTTCGATTTCTGAACAAACGGCATCCGTTTCTAAAACTGGCTCATCATCTTTTTCCTCTAAAATAATTTCCTGATTTTTATTATTTTGTTCGGAAGAGTTTTCGCTATCGTTCGAATTTTGTTGCTCATATTCTTCATTTTCTGCTTTTAATCGAGTTTGCGATCTGGTATTAACTGCGTTTAACTCTGAAATTTGCATTGGCGTCATTTGCAGATTTGACAATCTAGCCGCTGTTCTATTTCCAAGGAGATATCGACCTTTATCCAACTCACTTCTAACCACAGCCGCTTTGGATACAATGTCTCCAAGCTGACCAGATATCGAAACTTTTGCTAATGGTAAATAAGTTGGGCCTTCATCTAATGGTTGTTGTACCCACACAGTTTCGCCAGTAAACATATCTGGAGTCACATATTTTCTGCATATGATATCAATAGTTGCACCTGAATCACGAAGAACTGGCATCCTAACTCCATTTACTTTCGCCATAAGAGTGTACGGAGTTAGTAATTTGTCTTCTTCGTGTCCTACTCCGATTCGATTAACTTGAGCGGGTGGCTTTTGGCACTTAAGCTTCGGGCACTGAGGTCGTAAGTGATTAGTAGATCCACATTCGTAACATTTTAAAGGCGTACGTCTATCAAATTGATCATAATTTGCTTACTTGTACTCATATTTTCTTTTATTTTCTTAATTTCGGCCATTCTTTGAAGTAGCTCCCTGTGAATTTTTCAGTGTGGCATTTTCTTCTCGCCAATTGGATCTCCGATTTTCAGAATTTACCTGCAAGTCAATTCGTTTGCGACTTCCACGCACATTCTCGTACTCGTCAAATATTTCTGCCAGCTTTGTAGATGAAGTTATTTTTGACCAAGTGTCTATAAAATGATCACGCACTTCATTGGGAACTCTTCGTTTAGTTTGATCAGTAACCATTAGATCCAGCAAGGTTTCAAAATTTTTTACTTCCAATCCTTGAACCCATTCATTTAAATAGTTCCTTAATTCAAAAACGAAATCTTTCCAACTATTATCGTACTTCATTTGGTGCTGAATAAATTTTATCCTAAATTTTTCTGGACTTAGCTTAAACTTCTTCATTAAAATTTCCTTAACATGATCATAGTTGTATGTTTGTTCTTCAGATTCTCTTGCTATTAATTTTGTTATGTCAGGTGAAAGAAAAGATAATAAATGAGTAACCCACTCTTCTTTTGGTATTTCTGCTCGTTTTGCTTGACGCTCAAAAATTACCAAATAAAGACTGATTTCATCTTCCTTAGGATCAAAATTCTGCATTAACTTATGAATATCTAACTTATTCCGCAGAGTAGTGCCAATATTTTGATTTGAAGGGCCACTTAATTGGGCACTAAGCCTTAATTTCTCGAGTTCAAATTGGCGTTCTTGTTTTTGCCGTTCTTGGCGTAGTTTTTCCTCCTCTTCTTCTTGGCATTTTCTTTCTTCTTTTTCGATACGATTTTCTTTAATTGCCTCTAATATTTCTTTAACTAGATTCACTTCGTAATTTTCAGATTTTTTAATTAGATTTATCAACTCACATACTGTAACATTTTCAATAATAGTTTCACCCAATTCCTTACATAATTCTACCAAATCACACTTCTTTGCTCGTCCCAAGAAAGCCATAAGGAATAATACTTGAAACACAATTCCTTTAAATCAAATGGTAAGTCAATCCCGACGATGCCACCAATTAAATATAGCTGTAGCGTATCAAGCTATATTAAAGAACTGTTCAGTTTTTTTTATAACAAACTTTTATTAACAAACAACACAAACAGTAACAAATATGAATTACCCGTAACAGGATAGTGAAAAGATCATAAAACAGCAAGAAAAACCAGTAACGGGATATAAGGAAACTCACCCGTAGCGGGATAGATAAAATATTATAAAACAACTAGATAAAGTGCCCGTAACGGGATATAGGAAAACTCAAATTCCACACAAAACTCATTCTAAAAAATCAACAACTTTCCGGTGTGCTAATTGGGTATAATATGAAAAAAGCACAACTACTTCCACTCCGAAAATTTTACTAGGAATAATATTTACCTTTTGAAAATCCTCAGCGGCCATGTCGTATGATTATGCGGCATGTAAAAGATCCCTGGAGTGCCTTATTGGCTCTTGGCATTTCCGGCAAAATTATATTCCTAGTGCACTTTAGCATCTAAATAGAGTCTCGGTGCTGCCATCTAGTGTGGCAGAAACTAGACGCCCAAATTAACATGACCAACGGTATCTCACCCATTGTGGTGGTCCTGAAAGAGTGGATACCACCTCTGGAGAACG